TTGGTGGAAATAATAGAGTTTTCTTATTAACTTATGCTTTTACAGTCACTATTTGGATTGAATTCTGATATTTATTTCCCCAACATGTAAGATGATATGTTTTTGTATTGACATAATCACTACTCCTCCACTCACCTTTTACATCATCTCTTTTATGCTCTTTATTACATATGAGACAGGTTTTTGGACAATTAAAATAATCACCATACTCGTTACTATATTTCAAAGTTAAATAAGAGAATCGCTCCAATACCATTTTGATAATATGAGCTCGCTTTTTTTCAGAATCACCAGGTAAAACAGAAATTGAAGGTCGGGATTTGTTAGATACATTTACTTAGGATATAGGTGGCATACTTACCTCAGTTTCTGAATTAGCAGAAATAGATGAGTCAGAGATTCGAGACTTTGTTTCTTCAGTAGATGCATTTACTTTAGCTTCTGGTAATTCTGAGGAAGCAGAGCTTCGAGTCTTTGATTCATCTTGATCATTTTCTTGAGATGGTTCAGAGCTTGATGAATCGGAAACTTGAGATTCAGTAGGTATACTTTCCGAACTAGATTCAGGAATTTCAGTCACATGATTTGAATCGGTTGATTCCTCTGAAATTGTTTCTGATGATTTTTCTAGTGATAACTTCCCAGAAAATGCACTTACCTCAGTTTTTGGTAAAGTACTCACAATTTCAGTTGTATGATTTTGGCTATGGGCCGTCGTCGAAATTTCAGCCTATATTAGACTCATTATTAGAAATATTATCGATAATCTTTTGAATTTGTTCGTTGGTCAATTCTGAAATAGAATTTGTGCTATATGCTTTAAGATACTTAATTTTATCTATACTTATTTTGTCAAATAATTTATAAGTCCTTACGGCTTTTTGGGTCTTTTGTATAAAGTTTTACGTGAAATTTCTGGGAGCTGTAATCCTATTTCCTTGGACCTTCTTTCACGGATGATATTAAGGTATTCTAATATTTTATCATATATTATACCCTTTGCCTTTTTCTTGCCAATTTTGCTATTACTGTTTTTTATAAGATCATTATACTGAATTATGAATTCTTTCACATAATTAATCCAGCATAAGGTTTCTTCTTGGTTAGCTTTTATAGTGTAATGTTCAGCATCAGTTGCTTTATCAAATAATTAAGCTAAATCGAGTAATGAGATTGTAGAAAAATTTTGACAATGGGCTGTCGCTAAAATTCTAGTCACATGATTTAAATCTGAAACAACATTATCCTGAATGCCATCAGCTATCACCTGGGCGATATTCTCTGTTCCCTTTTTCTTGTGTGATTGAGATGTTTCGTTCCAACTTTTATTTTGATCCCAAGCTTTTTCACAGTTTTTGAGTTCAGAGATTCAGGTGTCAACAGGATTGATACTTCGGGTTGTATCGGTGGAGTTGAGTTATTATGTGATTCTTGAAGTTTTTTTTCCTGGTTTCTCTCTTTTATCTCACAACTAATCCTTTCCTTGTGTATCATTTCTACAAAATCAAGGATCTCAGCTGAATCATCATGGATAATATCTTGTGATAAAGAAGTTGTAGATGTTTCAGGCTCTATTGAAGATTCAGGTTGGGTTGAGCTATATTCTATTTTAGGCAAGGAATTAGAAGTAATACCTTTCTCCTTATCAGAATGGCTCTCAATAAGTGGTAAAATATCTTTTGTAGAAGATGGCATCTGTTTATTAGTAATAGCCTGCATCTGTTTCTGTTCCAATTTTGTGATTCTATCTTTAAGCTCAATATTTTCTTCTGCGGTCTGTTCCAATTTGGTGATCCTGACTTTGAGCTCAACATTCTCAGCTTTGTGTTTGGTGCTCTCTTCCATAGCCTGTTTTAAAAGCTTGGCATTCTTGGCTTTGAGCTCAGCCTTTTCAGCTTCAAGTTCAGAAATTCGTTGCTTTAGTGAAACAATTTCAGATTGCATGTTTTAGTGATAGATTGTATATATTATTATTTATTTAAAATGTGTAACTGAACTTCAGCGACGGCCCGTTGTCAAAAATTCCAAAAAATATGTTTATTACGAGATATCAAAACTAAATCACAAATAAAAATATTGTGGATTACAACCGTGATATGCGAATTTGCATAGTAAAAAAAATCAAAATCAGGAAAACGTGTATCCAATATTTTATTTTAACACATCAAACATTAACAGTAATTTGTTAAAAGCCAACGATACATGTAATAATTTGTAAATTAATAAAATTTTCAAACATTGCATCAAATTTGAGATAATTTTTTACAGTACTATATAAAAGAATCAAGAAACCATGGAATATCTATTCCATCGGGAGATTCTTCGCCTAATAATTCTCGCTTGAAGTCATTTGGATTTTGGACAGTGAACACTATCTTCATATTATCTTTGATCATTTTCTATTTGTAAATAAAGACAATGAAAAATCATGCATTCAATAAACTAATAAACTTAAATCATGAAGATAAAGGATAAAGCATACCTTCACCTTCCATATGCTAACCAATACTCTTATAAGATCTTTTATTTTTTCAATAGTAGCTGGCACCTCAAGAAGCTTATCATGTTTTAAGATTGTTATGTATCCTTTAGGACTACTCATTTGTAAAACTTGTGATTTGAGACCTATGATCTCAGTTTGTTTCAAAAAACTGAAAACTTTTGAATTTTTATTTTACTTACCCAAGTGAAGAATGCCCGGGATTTGTAATTTCCTTATCTTGGTTTCTTCAAGATTAACAAGTCTACACAAACATACGAAGATGTCATGCATAGCTTTGCTAATTTTAAATCCATCAGCTAGCAATTTTGTTTCATCAAAATTTTTTCCTACTTCGATTGCTCCGTACTCGATATTATTTAGATAAGTTCAAAATATTCCATCCATCTTATACCCCATCTTCTTACAGGGAAGCTTCTTGTAACGTGTACGTATTCTCTTTCTATTTTTTCTTGTGGATACTGCATCACTTGTTGATTCCTTTCTATAAAAAAAGTAAGCTAAAAAAATACAGAAATGATTATGAAAGTGCCAAATGGTATGTATATACCTGACTACTTCTATTCCAAATATATCGGAAAGACCATGGTCAACAATATGCGACCACACATTGATATCGTACCAAGACTCGAGATGTGATCTTTTTAGCGGTTCATTATGATTTTCGTAATACATAAGGCTTTTTGTAATAAATGGATACAAATATGTGTATGTTATTAAAACATCGTAACAATCTTGCTGATAAAAAGTAAATGCTCACAATTTCCTCATCACAGTTTCAGCCCATTCAGCATCAAAATGATCTTCTTGGACATAAGGCTCATCTTCATTTCGGAAGGATGTTGTTTCTAAGACCTTCCTTAGTTCGCTTTCTGTTTCAACCTAAAATTGGAAATATTATTAAAGTTACAAACAAATCAAAAAATGCCATAACATCTTAACTTACATTGGCAAATCGCATC